GGGGGGGCAGACCATAACGTTGCGGCAGGTTAATGAAAAGCATAGTTTTAAGGTTAGACCTCTAGAGGTAAAGAGGGACTCCAGGTGCGAAAACAATTTTCATTTTATTCGCAACTCGTTCTCCTTAGTATGTTTAGTCCTAGCGGCCCCCCTAGAAGCTGCCCCCCCTGGGTGCACTTTTTTGCCAGATTCATTGAAAATATGATAAAACCGCTGTAGCATCTTCAGACCTTTTAGCAATCCATTAAGTTCGCACATGATCGACGATTGTTCTAGTTAGGGGAAGGGAGGGGATGGCTGGGGAGCGGGTTCTGTAGCGTCGCTGGATGAAGTGCACGAAGGCCGCGTGCCAGCCGGCGCCGCGTCACTATCAGCTGTTTCGGGTGTTCGCACCAGTCGGCGATGATGTCGCCAGGCTACTTGGCGCACCCTGATACGGACTACGAGCGACGAACTCCGCGTTTCCTCAGCCTGCCCGTCCGCGGCCGACTAGTCGCGGTGTCACAAACAAGGGAGGGTCGTAATGAGCGCAGAGTGACCGGTGGCTACTCTGAGTCGGATGGTGCCGCTACCCGGCACCCTTAGATCGCCCCGACGGACCCGAAGCACGGCGTTGCGAGTGCGTGTCAGGATGTGCGCGCTGTTAGTGCCAACCGCCGCGACCGTACCCGCTACGAGCGGGTGAACCAAGCGCCGCCGACCCATACGAGTGACCCGTATACCAGCGGGCGATGCTGGCACCCGCCGACGGATCTCGTTCAGGGTCTTATTCTTCTTCAACCCCGTTTTGCGATCGTCTTGGTCCGATCCTCTGACGAGTCAATGTCATTCGGTGTTAGCTCCGCGGCGACCAACGTCCGTGCACTTTGCATGTCATTTATGTTGCCTTTCTCGGCCTGCGCCTTTATTCCACAAGGCTTGTTAACCTTCAACTTCCAATGTAGAGGAAAGAAAAGCGGTAGGCGCTGCATTGAGTACTCGGGAATGTGCCAGCTCACGCGCTTCCCCGGGGCGGTCTGATCGGTGCTAGCCACGGACGGGCAGTGCCACGCGGCAGCGTTTCGGCTAAATTGTACTCTTGGCCCGTGGTCACCGCTAAACAGCTCCTTCCCAATGCCAATGATCGTGCTAAAGGCACGCTGGATCGTCCTTTATTAATATTCAACTAGCCAACTAACTAGTCGTCGCTTTTAGCCTTAACTGATCTTTATTCACTATATTTCACATAATAAGCAATAAACTGCGAATAATCGGATAAAGATGAGTTTCCCAAATGGGACTTTGATGTTTATCACCCTTGCTTTGATGTGGTTACAAATTTTGGGTGCTATCACAAGATACAGGGGCACCTTTTGGGACTTAGCCTAGGAGGGAGCACAGCTTTGGGAAGAACGAAAATCGCTCACGCCCTCTGGAGTCTCTCTTCCCCCGTCTGAAGATTAGTCTCGCTTGACAAAGAAGAGGTTGTTTTCACGAAGGTTCCCAACAATGCCCCCGTATCTTGGCGATAGCACCAAATTTTGATAATTTTGATGTTTCTTCCGCTTATTGAAAATCTAATGGGGAACCTTAAACGAAAATGTTTATCATTTCTATAGCGCACTTGTCCGGTAAGGAGGGAGGGGTTGGCTAGTCCCGCCTTGGGTGGAATTTTTTTTTTCATAAACCCAGCACTCTTGGGAAACTTTGCCAGGGCGATATGCGCCCAAAAACAGCAATTAATAATCAAAATTGTCACCCTGTTCCGGGCATTTTTACGAAACGCGTCTCAGACGATCGTGGGTTGACTCGGCGTGACTCATGACTCTCGCAATGACGTACCACCTTTCGAAAAACTGATTGACCACGGGTGCACCTGGTGCAGATTCCCACGGTAGCGTCCCGCCCCTTCCGCGTGTGTATGTGTGGCGATTGTGTATATGTGTTTGGCTCCAGACGCACTCGAACGGACGACGTCCACGACTATCACGTACTTCCGCACGCGCACTCGTCCACATCAGACGATACTTCCTTGTTGGGTGGCCATTTCCAGTCAGTCTCCCTCCCCACTCACCATTCATTTCCCCAAACACTTCACCCAAAGGGTGTGGAAACAATGTGTGTGTTGATGTGTTTGCATGTTTTCTTATAGTTTATGACGTTTGTTTACTCTTATAACTATTTCTATCCTCGTTTCAGCCTGTGCCATCGTGTCGCGGTAACGGCGGCGATTCCGCGGCGGTGGTCGGAATGTGTGATGCTGCTGGACGACCGGCCAATCTAGGAGCCTATATTGACGATTAGTTGAACACTGGTATCTGAACAGTACGGGTAATTCAACCGACACAACAACAACACGCACGGTGGTGAGTTCAACCCCCTCGGAGAATTTTGCAGCTTGGGTACCGCCCAAAAAACCATTATTTCAGTGTTCCACAACATCAAACGTTCAAGTGAAGGACGAACAATCTCCGGATCTTCCCCTGTCCTACAATCAGATCAACTGCCTTGAAAACGTTCATCGACTGCTTAAATCGCAGTCCCGGCCGGATACGCCGACGAAATGCGAACAGGATGATTCGACGTAAGTTCACTGTCAGCAATTATTTCGTTTCAAAACTATCAATTCACAAATCCGGGGTGGAGACCTCACTCTGAAACCCGGGAGACAAGTATTAGAAATGCGACTAAGGGTTTTTGTCAGCTTTAGTAGTCGTTCGTTCACTTTATTACGCTCAAGTTCCTTCCTGCCTTGTTGCACTAGCCGCCAGTCACCCGGCTGGTTCAGGACACCAGATCGGCGCGACGGGTGCGTTGTTTGTCACCAGTGCCACCCGCATCGAAGGACGCTGTCCTTTGCGCAATAGCCACCCCATAACAACAATCTCTGGTCACTGTCACAACAATCGTGTCCTCCCTACGATCCGCACCTGAGAATAGCCTATAGTTCTTGAGTTTCAGGTCCGGTACGACCGCATCGATCCCTTTGACTCGTGAGGTCCTTCAAGCACACACGAGACGATGGGAGGAGCAGTATCGGGACACATGGCATCGCCGTCTTAAGCGAATGTCGGCCGAGGTGCTGCCCGGTGCCCCGGCTCACAAGCATATGCGTCCTGCGTCCAGCTGTACGCCGCCTGCTCACTGGCCAACTGCGAAACGAGAAGAGTTCTACCGTAGTCTCGCACCGAATCCGCCACCACCACCTGGGATCAACTTCCAGGTAAGACCTAAGCCTTAGAGTTCCTTAACCGGCCTCAAATCTACGATTCACTTCCAGATCACCACCATCCCGTTGCCTCCTGTGGAAGAAAAAAGCACCACTCCGACGTCGACCACCGACCGATCGAGCGCGTTCACAGCGGTTCCTCCGAAGGGAATTCCTCTCCGGGAACTGCCCACTCCGATCGCTCTCTCCATACAGGAACACGGCTCTGTCATCCAGACACCGTCCGAACCGCTTATGGTTCCTCGTGAAATGCTCGCTCATCGACTTCAATGGGCGTACGCTGTCGAACATCCTTCACTTAGACAACACACAAAAGCATTGCGTTTACTGCCCGAAAGTGCATAGGTTATTGAAATTTTCACCCCCGTCATTCGTCTCTTTCCGCTTTTTCGTCCGAGAAATTGCGACCTACCCGGCGTTCTTTCCATCGTCAAACCCGATTGGCTTAGGCTATTCGTGGTATTTCACTGCCCTTCTCCTAGCCTAATATACTCTTTATTTATTATGTATGTAATTATGTATTGCGCTTTATTCGTTGCCTTCTACCCCGAGTTATCTACCACTGCCGAGTGCGTACGGCATACCGTAATGTGCACAACTGTTGCTACCGTACACCAAAAATGAGCATCATGTGTCTTTTGTGGCCCGTGCCGTAGTAACGACGAGCGCTTGTTACGGTATTGCCGACGTCCCTACCTATGTGATTCAAGTGTTTCTTCATTCCTCGTGCTTGTCTTTGTCTCCTCCCGTTTGTCTTTCATGCTCTACCCGTTCGTGGTAGGACCCGTGTCCGACGCACGAAACTTCTCCGTTACTGTGACGATACCCCGCGGCTTTAACACTTACGTAGGTAGCGTTTTTGGTAGCTAAGCTGAGATTTTCAGTAGTAAGCGGGTTGCCGCAGTGGCGGAGAGCGGAGTAGGGCGGCCGGATGCGTCTTGTGCAATCTGATACCTGGTAGTCTTCGTGAGTGAAATATAGCGCGCGTGCGCGCACTTATCTGCTCTGCATCTTCTCTAGCACACACACACTCATCCGTTTCTATTTTCTTTGTTGATGATTGTTTATAGTAAACTGGTTACTTGACACATTGTTGACATAACCGATCTATTATACATATGTGTTGTATGTACAATGTCTACATAGGTGTTGATGATCAATTATAATTAAACTCATAAAAATCAGATTTTTATCACACATAACAACATAACAGAGAACGATTTGAGAAGTTTCCCGATTTTACAGTAATGGCTCAGACCCTGGTTTTCTTGCCACCTCGCCCACCACCTCTGGCCACACCTCTGGACATACCTCTACCCCGACCACGTCCTCTTCCACGTCCTCGCTGGGCATCCTGTCGAATGCGGTCCTCTTCACATCGGAAGGCGTGGTGCAGGTTCACGAGGTCTTTTACACTTTCATCGCAGAACATACATCCCTTGAAAGTAGTCCTTTCATCCGGCAGTGGGCTTTTGTCCTGAAATAGTGCTTTTTAGGTAGACACATACAGTTGTCTCAGTTTCCGTTCAATCTTAGAATCAAGGATAAAGCACTCGGCGTTGATTGATCCCGTTTTAGGATGCACCATGCATTCTACTTCCATTCAGGGTCTTGGGATGGGAATTCGGAAAGCGCTTTAGCCCATCGAATGACTTGCGAGGGTCCCAATGCATGAACACAAGGTCTATGTTCCTCCCAGACAGATCTAGAACCGAATAACCAACTCCGGAGGAATAGGAAGCTTATCTGGCTTGGTCCACGTGCGACCCAGGATTTGATTCCTGGACTGCGCACGTGGTAACAGCGCCACTTACCACCACACTCCTTCCACCCAAATCCACCTACGACAAAGAAATAAGTAATAATATCTAAGTTATGCCGGGTCCTACTAGGAGATACATAAGGGAGAGGTTTGACTGTAGGTTGTACTAAGAAGTGAGGGTTGAGCTCATAAACTGTTCCGCCTTTGGTATGATTTTCTCGACAAATCTCAAAAAAGACAAATAACTCAATTCCCTTCTTAGGTTACACCATGCACTCGACTTCTGTCCACATTTACCAAAGCGGGGAGCGTGTTGAATGTAAATACGAAATGAAACCATTAAATGCTTGAATTTTGTACTGATTAGCTCAGATTATTGGCACGGAAGCCTTGAAGGATGTACTTGAGAATTATCCCCTCTCCCTCCCCCTGGAAAGAAGTAGAGCAGTGATTACCGATTTTCCGCTACCCAGTCGTCACCCATTCATGTAATCAGCTGAAAGCTCGGCGTCGATAGTAAATTCCCTAATGAAGTTGTGTGCGCATGCATTGGACTTTCATTCAAAATTAGGGTACTACTTGTTGACGTATTCGTTCAGGTTACTGCGAGAATGAGGTGTCATGTAGAAATAAGATTGTTTATGGTAGCTATTTCAAAACGTCCGCTTCCCAGGCGGTCTCCACGTGTAATTCTGAACAGGGCCAATAGTCCGCTATTAACCCTTAATTTTTACACCCTTTGACGACCGTGTGGCCCGCCGGTGGGCCACACTTTTGCTCGGTAGCGGCACGTTTTTAGGGGTTTATTTTGGCATCTTTTATGTTTCAAAACTACACGAATACATTATCGAATTCGCGGAATAATGCGCTAATTACTAATAGTGAAATTGTTGGAGAGTTAATGATTATTGATGAAAAAATTTAGAAAGAAGTGAAGTGACGCATTCATTAACGGCGGTCGTTAAAGCGAGGGATTACGATAAGTTTGGACTGGGTTCATAGTGGAAGTGGAGATGCTGAATAATGCCCCAGTGGCGAAAAAAGCAAAGAAATCCGTCAAGAAGGCGCAAAATGGGACCCCTTTCTTTGCCCGTTGACCTCCGATAATGGACGAGCTAGCAACCAATTAGGAGGTCGTTTGCACATGTTATGCTGATAGCCTCTATCATTTCAGCAAGCATCATGCTTTGATTGATCACGCATCCCATGAAAAGTTATAGGATACACTCTGGAAGTGGAATATCTCGTCACATTGGCAATCGAAGGGCGCTGCTGCTGGGGGCGGAGCACAGACCGTGGCGGGGCTCAGAAAGGAATGGCAAGCCTTGTACGCTGCAACTAGCGCACCTTTGACCACAAAAACGCAACATTTCGTTTCCTTGGGCCCCTGACTACTGCTTCCAATGGTGCATGTACTTCCACGCTGCATACGCACTTTATCGTAATCTCTCGCTTTAAAGGGTTAACCCGTAGAATCGCTAGAACCCCGCAATTGGCACGGTCAGATGCATAACGCATAATTTAACTGGAAAAGTGTTACAGGTTACCAGGATGGAAATTCTTAGGGAGAAAACTAGTTACAGTAAGCAATGGAAACAATGAAGTGATGTGGTGGCAACCTAAGAGGAGCAGTGACCAAAAACGTAATATTTTCGAAAACCGTAAATCGGAAACAACGAAGCAGATTGAGCGAAATTTGTGGCCAATGCATAATGAAATGCAATGGACCAACAGCCCCAAAAAAAGGGGATTAGCAAATCATTGTGGGAATCCGCGATTTAACGCTAGTCCGGTATCGTCGATCGGAGAACGAGCCCGATCGAGAGATTTATCAACCGTCAAACGATTTGCAAATGACCCAACAGACGGTCTGAGCGGAAAAGAATGGCCTGCGCATTCAAATGACTTGAGTCCCACTTTTTTCAATTGGTTTCTCCGTGGTGCAGCTATTCAAAAATCAGAACACCAAAACAGAAGGTAAGCCCGGAATCGTTACTATGCGGAAAATTACTACAGGGAAAAGAATTGCCAATTAATATCTCCCTCATAATAAACACTGGAGCTCAATATTTAATGCATTTCTTACGAACTTTCTTCAAGAAAATGGCATGAGCAGTTCTATTCGGGAGAAGTCAGAGGAGATGATAAGTGAAGTTGACGCGTTCAAAAAAGCAGAATGTTTCTAAGAGAACCAGGCGATGGTGTACCCTCTTAGTCCTTCTAACACCAAACTTTAGGGGAGTGGAGGAGGGAGAACAAAAGTAATTTCATCCTCCCCGGAGTCATCGTCCCTCCTAGGCTCCTTCGGAGCTACATATGGCGCTATAACGATGCCGCTCTGAGTACACGAGCGCAGGGAGTTTAGTGATTAGAATGTGGCGAGAGCAAGATTTGTTGGAATTGGACAACTCTCAAGAGCATAATCGTGAGCTCATCTTTCTACGTTCGCTAGTACTATAGCAACTATTTTGATGGCACACAGTTTTGATGCTTGGCCTGACGCCAAATTTCGGATATTCCGCTAGCCATTCTAGAGACAAGTTGGCACGCTTTCTTCGGAGTGAGTTTCAAACTAATGGATCTAACTTCGCAACAGTTCGCAGGTATTCATGCTTCTCGAAAATGTCGTCGATCCGTCGACGCGTTTCTTTAATCAGACAGATACGGGCAAGGGACGGGATGGAGTAAAACGGAGATAGTCGTGTGTTCAGCTTCACGAGAGATAAGGGGGTGGGGTGGAGGATTCAGATCAAGTTTTCTACATGTAATTTTGAGCTGTATAGTAATATTCATGAAAAGGTATAAAAACGCGCGGGTCACAGGACGAACTAGAGCTAACATGTACGTTCTAAAGAGGAAAACGTAAAAAGAGAAAATGGAAAATTCTGAGGGTGAGTCGCAGTTCTTTACAGATTAAATTCAAATCTAACAAAAACCTTCAAAGGAGTCGGGGAGGAATCTATTTGGCCCTTTTTGAATAAAGTGAGTTTTTAGGCAGTGATATTTGATAGGTGGTGTAGTGGCTAGTGACACCGTTTACCACGTGGTCCTGTCAGGGTATAATTTCTAGATCGACCTCCATTCCAACAAGTAGTCTAGTCTGACCAAGTCTTCCAGATTGCTGCGACATCACTCCGATTAGTCCAAATTAGGGGAGATAGAAGTGGATTAGCTTTTGAAGGAAGCGAATAACGGTTGCGAAAGAAGAAGAGTATCTATACAGTGGAAGTATGGATTTGTAGAGGCTGATCAAAGTAAACAAAGTACCCTATATAAGGGTGAATCTCGAGTGCAGTAAAGAGGTCCTCCACAGTCTGCGCCTACCGTCAACGAAGTAGCGACCAGACTAGAAGAAACGAACCAGAGGAGGCCGCAACCGAGGACTAGAGGCTTGAAATTACTGATAGTCCAATTGCTTGCTCGTTCCCCCTCCCTCCCCCCTGCTTCCCACTCAAGGCTTAAATTGCATCCAGACGATTTTGAATGAAGGTAGAAAGATGCGCGCACCAGGAAAAGACCAAGCAACGCCCAAATACTTCACCCTTTTATTGAGATGAGTACAAATACAGGCAAAAAAGAAGCCAAATTCCTGAGCTTGCTTACCTTATATTCCGCGACTACGATACGTGCCTGACATTCTGTACACGAGGATTCCGTAACACGAAATTTGAGGGCTCCATCAAACATCGCCACCACCGATGGACACCTGTTGCACGTCAGTCTCCATTTGGGATGAGACTGTGGATCCAGCACCATTACTCCTTAATTGAATACTAGAATAATGAAGGCAAAACTTCCTCATTTTGCACATCTAACCGTACAAAAAAGGGGACGAGCGGATGGGTACTATCAATTGCACAAATGGTCTACAAGGCTATTCCAGTCGTCCTGATCTTCCTTCCATCCGATACGCCTTATCGATATCGTAGTTCATTTGCTAAAGGAGAAACTGCATGCCGCGAGTATTGGCTACGCTTCACTATAGCAGACACAACATGAACTGCTTGCTGTGTTGCTAAGAAGAGTCAAGTGTGCGGCGCATTCCATATGAGGTTCTGCCAACGCCACGCTAACCAGCTACCTGCTTTTTGCCGGACTAATAGAATGAGTCAATGGATTGAAAGTGCTCATTCGACCAAGATAATTGGACGAAACTGGAACAGTCAATTACTGTAATACATAAGTTTTTGGTCGATAGGGGTGAAAGTGGTGTGGATGGCAGGTGACGCTGCTTACCATGCACGGTTTTCCAGGCAAGTGGAATTATTAGTACCAGGTTCGTTAGGAGATAACTAAATCAGAGGATTGTATATCGCCTAGCCCCTGCAAAGCCTTCGTACATACATTGGCCAACCTCAAGCGCCACTGAGATTGCGAATTGAAGAAGAATACGTGACGCATCTCAGCAAGGGAATGATCTTCGCTGAATGTTTTATCCTTTATGACGGCTAAAAAAGCCGTTATGATCCCGTCTTGGGATGCGGCAACGCAATTCTAACTCCCATTTGTACATTCGTAGCTAGTGTTTGCATGCGATGTGGCCTAATAGCATGATTTGCCCAGACCCCCCCCGTTCAGCCGATGCACTATTGGTAAGTGCAGTTTTTATCCCTCCCCGCCAGGCATAGTCTGGTTCCCTACTAGCCGACCCTGGAGGGATTGAGGATTGGCCAGAGGAAGCACGACTGCCAGGATTCGATCGCCCAGGACGCGTGGCACGTTGCAAGCGTGCCACTTGCCACTACACTGCTTCCGCCCTTTATCCTTTTTATCATTTATACCTATGTAGAATATAAAAAAGCTATTCTCTCACAAAATAGGACGATTTCAAATGTAGGACGTGTTACCGAGAATAGAGGGGGATCAGGGCAGAATGACTGCAGACAAACGCGGGTTCAACTACGCATTTCAATCACTCCGATGATTTTGGCATTAACTGGCCAAAGAATCTAACAAGTTTGTTTTTGACCCTCAGCAAGTTACTCAAATGATCCAGTATTCCACTCCTATGATGAGAGGCGCAGCGCAACACCTTGTCGCTCAAATCAATCCACGCAAGGTTAGCACCAAAATTTAAATCTCACCTCCGCATTCCTGAAGGCAACCGCATACGCCAGAAGTCCTGAAAATATGTTCTACTAAGGGTTATGGCTCTTAAAACTGGAGGAAAAAAACCAGCCATCTTAGAGAAAAACGCACATGAATGACTGAAGGGCATTCAGGATGAGGACAATTTGGGGCATCCTTCGCCTTCCTTCATTCGATTCAAATGGTGGGTTATTGTAACAAGAAAGGACAGAAGGCAAAGCTTCGTGCGAGTTTTCCGCCGGATCCCTTGAATATAAAGGTTTGCAAGATACACCACTTTATTTGATAATGACTGAAACCTGGGCAGTTTTAGAAGAAGAAAAAAGAGCCAAATGAACTTTTTCAATACAGAGTGGGCACAGTAAGAATGCATGGCTGGCAAGAAGAAAACCAAGACATAGTGGCCGAGTGTCAGACTTTGCGACTGGGAGCGATTTTGCACCAATTGCAGGAGCGACGGATCGCTCCAAAGTGCGAGCGACGGGAGATTTACCCGAGCGGCGCCGTGTGTATCGGTCGTCGGCGGGGTAAATCTCCCGTCGCTCGCACTTTGGAGCGATCCGTCGCTCCTGCAATTGGTGCAAAATCGCTCCAATCGCAAAGTCTGACATCGGCCAATAATGGATTGATTAATTTTTCTCTGGAACGCCATTACACAAGGGACGAAGAATGCAAAAATGGCAATCGAGGCATTTTTAGCAGATCTCTATATCTGCCTTATACTGTAACCCATAATGCAGGCTGGAGGCACATTTTGGATCCCCACTGCAACTTAGTTTTGTTCCAGCTAAAAATACGCGATACCCTTCTCGAAACTTCAAAATAAGCCCGCAAGTACTACTTCAAAAACTTATAATAGCTCACGATTAAGCTGAATCATGCTAAATTTCTATGGTCTGTTCGGCTTCGGTCCAAATGTTCTGCAAAGCATTCAAAGGCAGGACAAGCAAGTATAGACAAATTCTAGCTGAGACCTTCATCCGTGACGCACCTGATATTTTGGAAGCTCACTGTAGGAAGCGGGCCTTTCTTATGACATACTGAACTAACATAAGGCCTTCCGGAAGAAGCTTTTTCTACCCTACATACATAGTGAGGGGACTCACATGCCAATACACGAGCTCAAACTCGTCCAACGGACACTTCTTTTCTCCATACGGTCGGAGGACCCCGTCCTTGAAGTTCGGCACAGAATACGTTTCCTGCAATGTTTCGATATTCCTTACACAGGGGTGGCCAAAAAAAAGGGGACACTTTCACTCCCACATTCAAAATGGAATTATTTACGCGCTGGGAAACAAAATCAAATGATCCCAACAGAATATCAAAGATCACATTAAAATCGCTAATCCTACTATATATAATCGGCTAAGCGGTTGTGTGTGTGTGTCTGACCGGAAATTCATAACTTCACTCCCTTTGGACCCAGAGCGCTCAAACTTCTAGGATATATAGGGGGCCGGAGGTGAACACTGATGATGGGTGGCGGGAAGTGATAACTACTGATAGGAACTGATAACGGACGCCGAAATGTTGATGTCACCAATTTCGTTTACGCCGTTTGCGTTGACGGTGGGAGTTTGCACTCATGTATGATATGTGGGGTGAGGCGGGGACCAAGAAGTTGAGTGAACGAATGTGGTAGCAACTGATAAGAACTGATAAGGGGCGTCAAAGTGTGGATACCACCAGTTTCGTTGCGGCCCTCGCGGTTACATTGGAACCTTGGCTCTCACATGTGGTATAGGGGATGGGACGGGAACACGGATAGTGGATGATCAGAAGTGATAACAAGCGATAACGGTTGATAAGGAAGTTAGGATTTTGAGTACCGCTAATTTCGTTGTAGCCTTCGTGTTGACAATAAATCACGAGCTCCTGCACGTTGCCTGGAGGGTGGGATGGGGACACCGATTGCGAGCAGTATGAACTGATAACAAATGACCAGGAATGATATGAGCGTCTGAATGCAGGTCTCTCCAACTTTGTTATAATTATCACTGGCAAGCGATTAAGGTGGCGAGGTTGAAATTAGGCGACAGAAAGTGGTATGAGCGGCAACTGTACTGATAAAAGTAGCGAAAATTGAGCGTGCACTCAGCTGAACTAAACCAGGTCCCTAGCACGTGAATATGTCCCATTCCTATCTTTTCATTCAAAGAAGCTAAGAAGCTAAGAAAGTTGGGCTGCTCAACTATCTGCACTTGGACTAACAGCGAATTTCCATTATATTTGCAATTTCCATCATAGCTCGATTGGATCCTGATTGATTGATTATATTTCACTTAAATAAAGATTCTTCAGTTGTGGAAATTCAATAGACCGCTAAATCATCCGAGCTCGATATCTATGCTGGATGTTTACGAATTCATGATAAGTACTATTTTCATTCCGCAGGCTACTGCGCGCATTACGCGACAACCTCCAGCGAAAATTGGACAACTTTGAAACTTCATGGGAAACACCTTCCAAACATCTTACATTAGTTTCTCAGCCACGTGACCTAATATTCTGCAAGTTGTCCAGTTTCACTGAAGCCCTCCATGTGATGCGCGCGGTTGCGTGCGGAGCTAAACTGGTCCTATAATAAGCTACTTAACAGCCTCCTACACCGAGGACATCAGAAGATTTTCTCACGGAAGCATTGTGCACGGTACGAGCTCAACGAGGTCGTCGAGGTACCGTAAACGATTACATACGCGTTCTCTGAAGCGCTGGTCAAAAGCGGCTTTGCATAGTCACAGCTAATGTCTCTGGGAAGCTATTCAACAGTTAATCCATTGAAGAAATTATGTAGCAGCTTCAGGTCGGAGCGATTACGGTAAGCCTCGTTGAGCTCGACGGTGGCGGCAGATGACGTCATATTCTGAAGACGGCGGGGGCAGTGAAGGAGGGCCTGCTTCTGTTTACGGGGGAACACCTAAGGAATATTTCGCCGTAAAACTTTCATTAACATCGGCTCCCTGTGCGACGAAAAGTTCGATGATGTCGCACATGGCTGAGTTTTTCTCTTTTTCTTGGCACCCCCTTGTATAACCAAAAACAAGAATGGAGAGAGATTTAAGAAAATCAGCCTCGAACTAAACCACACAACTCCAGTTGTATACCTGACAGGTAGAACAGAACAGACGTTGTGGTCTAGTGCAACCAATTTCATATATCTTCTACATTTACCACAGCGACAAAACGGTTTTCCTGAGTCCGAGAGTGAAGTGAACGAGGCTAAAAAATGCGAATTTTCCGATTTTTAAAAAAAAAATCTTCAAGTAGTTGGAGTTCATAAATCAGTAAGGTCCCGTCTGCTGTGATGGTTATTAAAGAAAAGCAGAAAAGCCTCGAGCGATAAAAAAAACTTTAGAAAAAAGTAAGAAGTATGAACAGAGTACGTGTCCTGCAACGTTATCAAAAGGACAATCCCTCAAGAACGGGTCACAAAAAAAACTGAGAAGCCATAGAACGAGCCAATTTTCACATGATTAATAGATCGGAGAGATCTGAACGACTGCTTAAAATTTTACCTTCGAATAAAGTGTCCACCTGGGAGATATTCTTGACGTAATAGACAAACTTTTGCCGAAACATCTCCAATGCATGATCTCTGACCTGGAAAACTGGAATCTAAAGGCTTTACGAGAACAATGAGATGGCCTAGTCAGGTTACTGCACAAGCCAAACAAGTACTTCTATGCCTTTCTAACAGTGAATGGACGACGAAGGCATGGCTGATTATTTCACAGATGTCCATTCCTTCCCTAACAATTTGCACTTTTTGATAAGCTCTATTCAGAAAGGCACTGCACAAGCGTAGACTTTCGGTCCTCGACGACCTCCTTGACTTACCGCTTGATAATCAGCCTTTCCTTGGGCAATCAGATTGAGCTGTGTTTCGAGCTCAGCCCTCATTGTTGGCAGAACGAGTTCTCTGTCAACTCGCCAATAGCCGTGAACCAGAGATATTCCCAGTTGTGTCGGTACCAGACGCCGACCGCTCTCAACCTATAAAATGTTTATTCTGAAAAAGTAATAGTTTGGCTTTTGACTGCTCCTACTTCAACACATTCCACCTGAGTGATTTTTTGGGAATCTGAAGAAGATACTGCTGGATTGCGTTAATGTCCCACAAAAGCTCACAGGCACACTAAGTTTGCTTTGAAGGAAGATGGCGGAACAAATTGGTCTCCGTCCAAAATAAAAGTAGAGGGGCTAAATGGTGCACTACCGCAGAAATATCAATGGGAACGGTCCAAAACCTGCAAAACAGGGCCTCGGTTTCCCCGCTCTTTTCAGCGCTGGATGATTCTTACAAGAAGGAAGGAGTTCTTTCAGGGAGCGCTTTTTCAAAATGGTTTTCTGCATGTTGTAGGGGCTCATGTGAGGAACACAGAACCATGATCCATTTTTCCTGAACGCCTCCAGGAATGTCAAAAGTGAAAAATGGTCAAGAGTTCCATAGAGTTCGATCCCCCGGATGACTAATTTTTGCAATATAGTTTGGCTGTGACCAGATTGCCACCAAAATGCGCCATCGTTTGAAAAAAATTGTCAGCGGTACGAGGAGAACTCTATCTATTGTAAGCGTGATTTGCGGAACAATTTGAAAGGCGCCAAACATCGGTTCATATATTGTCTTAACGGGGGATCTCGGACTCTAAGACCCGTTTCTTCCCCGTGTTCGAACATTCCCCTGGGCGTTCAGGAAAATTGAAGCATGTTCTGAGTTCTTCGCAGACAGGCCCCTGAAAGAATCAATTTAGAAGACCATCTTAAAAACGCTCCATGTTCTGATTAGGGTCCCCTGCGTTAGTACTGCTGAAGTCATTAACGTGGACGTCCTGTTCTGCCTCCCCGCTGAATAAGCTAGATTTTGACGGCTACAGACTAACAGCCGGGGTAGCTAATCTTAAATGAGTTCTGTGTGATCGGTCACGCATAGATCCACCACCGGCAAAGATTCCAAGGTGACCATTCTTTTCCAAGGACCAAAACTTCCGTACGATAGAGGGACAAGTTCAGGAACGGGTAAAGGGGCGGATAAGACTTTGCAAGCCGCTACGGCTGCACTTCTCGCCCACGAGAGCGCCACTTTCCGCTCCGTTAGTGGCCCAGATTATGGTAAACATAAATACTTGCCCTTTTTCAACGCATAGCTTATAGTGCCACCAGTTTTTCCGCAACTTACAGTGACATAGTTTCTTTGACTGATGGTGTTGATGTGAACTGGAATGGACGCATCGGTACTCTTGGATGCCAGGTGTTTTTCCATCAGGGTGATCAACCCGATTTCCGTTACAATAGCCAGGTGGAGACGTTCTCACGATCAGCAAAGAGTGCAGATCTCAAATCTGAACCCCTGTGAGAAAAAATTTCAGAACCGATTGGAAGGATAAAAAAGTCCTATACTCTCTTACCTCACAACAGCGCTTGGTAAACACCTCTGATAACTTAAGGGAGGAGCTTTTGCTCACCGAAGATTCGAGTTAGCGCTTTATCAATGAGCAAAAGGTATGTGCTTTTTTAATGGTAAAAAAAATTAGTGTTCTGACTAACTTGAGCGTGACCTGATCTCCACGAGACAACGGTGGCAGCTTCTGATCGTCCTCAACATTGAGCCAGGTCATCACTTCAGTGAAACCCGGATCCTTAACGGCTTTTCCAGTCAGGGTGAAAATTTCGTCGGCACAAGATATTCTGTAAGCAACTATGCATTCATTGTTCAGATGAAATACGGCAAAACAAGGAGTGGTAAGTTCATTTATGGTGAAATTTCATCATATAGAGGAGGGACCTTTGATCGGAAAGTAACACTGAAAACAGTATACAACATGTAGAAATAACTGAAATCAGTAAAATGGTCCTATATGCAGGGCAAAACGCAGCGCAGCGGCTTTATTAGAGGTACGGTAGCGTGCTATAGTTGTCGTGGACTGCTTCCGAAAGCAATTTAGCGTTGCAACTGTAAAGAGTTGAACTACCAGTGCCCATCCTGACGGGAATGACAAAACGAATATTTTCACAGCGGCTCAACCTTGCAAACTATTACACGCAGTGATACGTGCCCTCAATACTGAATGGAAATCGCATGTGTGGCGTATCCCAAAAATATCGAACAGTATCTACAAAAATGACGGCTAGCATAGGTCTGTTTCAACTATTGTTCATCAACTGATAGACACGAAAGGCTATTTGTGACCATGTTCAGTCACACAAATAAAAAACCTACGTCACAGTGGTGACATCATAAATGCAATAACAAGGCCCGCCATCAGTGTTGAACCGACCAAAATGCTGTACCCCCACGATTAATCGTAAAGATGCGTGCCATATCTCGAAGAAACCTCAAAGATAATACGTAAAAAATTAAGACTTGTAAATTCCATGATCACTTAAAGGCATAATTCACGGAGTGTCGCAATTCGAAAGTGCTTTGTGGCTTCGTTCACTCGGTTAGAAGTGTTTGCGGCTATCCAAGCGCCAAACCCGTGAAGTGTTTGCGTCTCTCATCCTAAACGCTCTCTCACCGTACCTTGCGTCTCCCTCCCACCACTGCGCGAATGTCTCGGCGCGTCGTAGCAGCAGTCTGCCTCATTGAGAAAGGATGCGTCAATCTTAGAGCTTTCCGGGCCTTCGGCTTTTTTCTTTGGCTTTTTTATCTTCGTTTCGGCCATTTCACATTCAATTACAATTTCGAGGGGTGAGCGTATTACCCTAACTGACTGATTGCATTATCTGCCCTTAATACCAGAATGCAAAGGAACAAACATGTTAATAAACTAGTTTTCACCTCCAGAAAGCTGTCCATTGCTTGGCTTCATCGGTGTAATAGGTGGATGATCGCCTTTGTCTTCTCCACCCTTAGGTTTCCGAATACCATCATTCAAGACCTGAACCGAACGGATTACTGTAGTCGATATTTTTCCGCTAACATAAATGAAAAGTGTACCTTTTTCACACATCTCCCCATTTGGGATTGTTTGACTGTTGCTTCAGAGTTCCTACTAGATCGAAATTGGGAGGGTAAGCAGTGGTCTCAGTTCTGGGGTATCCCTGAGTATACAATTGTTCAGCAACACTCATTGTTGACGCGGGGCTGATACCTGGAATGAATTTTCAAAAAAATCTAAAAAAAAATAGAGCAAGTAGATCTATCCTCTGTAAGTAAGCGAGGCAAATGCAATAAATTTCAAGAAGTTCGTAGAACAAAGATCTGATCTCACCGAATGAACTGCTTGCAACTCTCATTAATTCGACGGTGTTCAAAGCCGCAGGTCGTTCTTTGCGGGCCTCCTTTGTCGTTCTATCAGTAACCACTCCTTTACCGGCATTCTGAATGTTTGAACTATTGTGCCACAGGTGAAATTTTTCAAACACTTAAATTGTTCAAAAACTGCTCGAAATGTGCCAGGCAGGAGAGCAGGCACTATTGGGGCATATTCCTTAATAGGTAGAGGTCATTGCGCTCAAAAATGAAATTAGCTGTGGCACACTGGTCCAACACTAGTGATAGAAAGCTGAAAAGGCCAAAACCCTTCAACATCACGCTGTGCGCCGATGGTATGGGCGCGTTTTGTGACCAGCCCCGACAGGAGTCTCACTGGTTAGTCTTTCCTGTGATACGGTAAAAATGGCAGAGAAATAGAACCTACCAATGAGGTTCACATGGAGCAGAGCGTGAGCCCCGCCCTATACAATCAGCGCGATTCAGCGCACAGTTTGGTTGTATAGGCTCTTGACAGTTTCCTGCTGTTGTTTCATTACTAGTGGTTCAAGCACCACAACTACTTTCATTTTGAGACGCCGTTACTTACACCTATTCGATCGCGGACGTGTCTTCAAGTGAAGAGTGAGGCGCTCTTTATGAGCGAGCCGTACTGCTTTACCGCCTCCTTATTAATACTTATGAACTTTCAGTGAAATGCTGTGATCATCAAAGGACAAGCTGGGTTCATGTATGCATAGGTGCCCTCTACTTCGGAAAACGAGAAGAGCGTCGAGTGCAGACCACACACCACAAGTGACGACGGCCAAGAAAAAGAAAAGAAAAAGCCACTTTTTTCTTGGCCGTCGTCACTTGTGGTGTGTGGTCTGCACTCGACGCTCTTCTCGTTTCCGAAATAGAGAGTTAGTGAAAGCCGATCTGAAAATCTATCGACGGACAATGCTTAAAGATTCGGCATTCCCTCAATTGACGCCCTGTTTTGTTGTGAAATCAAGGGAAAAATGCATACCTTAACGCGTTCCAAAAACAGCTGGCACACATCTCTGTCGAACAGACGACCGCGCTTCCACTCGGGTCGAATCGTGGTTCCGTCAGCAGTGTCGAACTTGCATTGCAATATCCAGTAGGATTCTGGCTGAAATTAAATAAAGGCTGAACATCACTTAAAAAACAAACCCTATTGTCAAGTGCTATTTTGAGTTCAAAAACTTCTCCAAAAAGCCTAACACTAGAGCACCATTAAAAAAGCCTTTTAGAACTCCTAGTTTAGAGGTAATGCCTGACGACTGACCCATCCCCTCCCGACATGACCTTTAAAGACTTGGAAAATTTCGCCATGTTAGCAAGTATTTTGGTCTCAAATTGTTCATGCCCATGTTAAAATGTGATTAGACATCAGGACAGCACTGCACCGAGGTTATCCCATCCGTTTGAACTTTTTGACGGGGTCGCATTTGCGGGAGGGGGTCGTATTCGACGTGGAGCAAGATTCATCACTTCTTGAGTGTTTTATGGGATTGCGGTTGCGGTAGAGGGGGGGGGGGCGTATCTAAACCTTTGGGGTAGCGGAGATCGTAAATTTCTTTGGAAAAAAAGGGTGCGAACGCAATGGTTGCCTCTGTACTGCACTGGAATGTCGTAATAACTTCGTATAGCATACATTATACTTAAAAAAGTAACCAAATCCTGAGGAGTGAAACGGTCCACCTTGAAAGGGTGATCTGATCTGAGTGTCACACGATCCGAGACGTCGGCGTCTTGAACAACGTACGTTACAGCTAATCACCGTGCGGGTCAGAGAGCGGCCATATTTATATATTAAAATTCTTAGATAAGACTTACTAAAAACATGCGAGTAATGAACGGTTATGGACACATCGATGCATTACAAACTTATTGTACTTATTCACTTTATTATAAAACATAAAAATTGATGTAAGCGAACAACCGCTCACTGAAGTTAGCGTTGCTGTATAAAATGGTGTTTTTCTCATTGACAGAGTACATTTTGGACTGGTTGGCAATGGATATGCCTCTCTTTCAACCAGAAACGCGTCATGTGCAGACCACACATCACAAGTGACGACGGCTTCCACAAAACGTAAATATATATTTCCTACCAATGATTGATTAGCTTGTTGCAGCTGTATTCTATCAGCTTACCAATAATTACAGCCTTCATTATATTACCAACTTTCAATTGTTAACACGAATTATCGCGTTATGAGATATTCTTAGAGGGTGCGTCCTCATTTATTGTGTATGGTCGCACTCAAATACCCTTCCCCTTTCTGAATCAGGAGTACACGTATGCGGAAATGGGTTCTCGAATGCAGATTAATTGATTGAAGTCTATATTAGCGGGGAAATTTATGCTTCAGAGGAATTCCGATGAAGCCTCTGCAAATGCTTTCTGAAACTATAGCACCTAGTTCGCATTAGGCGGGTCTGATTAAAAATAAAGTAAGAGGCATTTTTTACACTAAGTTCTAACTTTACATTGAAAAAAAAACGAAAATAAAGAAACCAAAGGGATACTGAGCTCTAGGCTAAGAAGTTCATGGAGGTTTTTCCGTTGTCCTGCATGCTCACTCGTGAGAAGACCCTTACAAGAGAGCGATAGGTTCACGGGTAACCCGACGCTCAAGTATCAGTGTTGAAAACAGTTCTCACAAGCTGTTTGTACAGATAGAATATACACAGAAAAAGAGTTCCAAGTTTTTTTTTGGAAAATTTTCACATGTTGCTAGAAAAATGAGTTTAGGAACCTGAAAGAACTTCGTCTGAAACCTAGTGAATGAGCAGCCAACACGAAGGTCCAACTCTTGTCGGGCATCCACCGCCAGAGCCTCATTCTGATTTGGACGAGCCAGGTTCTGCATGGCGAACTTGATATCCTTCTCGGTAATTGCAGAGAACCGCGCTCTAAAGATGGTTCTGTTTGAAATTGAATTCCCAAAAAATCCCAAAATATTGTATTCTATTTTATAAAGCGCTAACTTTGTGTGTCGGTTTGTGTATCTGTGTGTGTGTGTGCGTGTGTGTGTATGTATGTGTGTCCGTCCGCAAAATGAAGTGAGTGAGAAGGAAGCTCATGGGATAAACAAACCGCTAACAAATCGGGTAGCTTACAGGATTTGAGATATCAATGTTTTGTAGCAGGATAGTTGTGATAACACTCTTAGGGCTATATAAACACCTGCTTAGCACACTTCCGTTCATTCCACATGGTGCTGCAGTGGCAGCTGGAGGGCGAGAGAGGAAGGGAGGATGAGGAAGGGAAGCGAAAAATCTACCGTCATATCATGATTGTGTCCCTTCTACTGTATGAAACACCATTGTGTTGCATACGCGTCACTTCCAGGTGTTGGTGTCACAGGAGGAAGGGACCATAGCGGAGGATAGAGCGCGCAGGAAAGGAAGGTCCCGGCGGTTGACGGGGGACTAATCTGGTTGTTAATAAAAATTGGAGGTCATCACTC